ACTTCGTGAAGGGCGTGGTGGATTCCGAGGATTTGCCTCTGAACATCTCCCGCGAGACCCTTCAGCAGAACAAGATTCTGCGCGTCATCAAGAAGAACCTGGTGAAGAAGTGCCTGGAGATGTTTGCCGAGATTGCGGAGAAGAAGGACGACTACAAGATACTCGGCTCTTGAATTCGTGTGTTTTTATCATGATGAGACTCCAGATTGAACATGCTTGATTTGCCGATGCAGCTTTTGAAAACGGTAGGCTTCCCAACACGGCATCTATCTTTTTTGCAAGGAAGTTCTATGAGCAGTTCGGTAAGTGCCTCAAGCTGGGCGTGCACGAGGACTCCACCAACCGCACCAAGTTGGCGGAGCTGCTGCGCTACCACACGTCCAAGTCAGGAGATGAGCAGATCAGCCTGAAGGAGTATGTGGACCGCATGAAGGAAGGCCAGAACGACATCTATTACATCACCGGTGAGAGCATCGCCGCTGTCTCTTCCTCCCCCTTCCTGGAGACCCTTCGCAAGAAGGGTATCGAGGTGCTCTACATGATCGACCCCGTCGACGAGTACTCCGTGCAGCAGCTGAAGGAGACTCTAACCCGATGGTGTTGCATCTGCGAGTTATGGCCCTCCTCTGATGATGCTATCATGTCTCAGAGTGATGATGATGCTGCTGCTGATGATCATGGTATGTTGATGCTCCGAGTACCAAGAATTTTGACCCAATGTTGGGTCTGCCATGGATGCACGGAAAGCTAAACTGACGTGTCCACCCCTCTCGGGACGGGAAATCCTTCTCACTGGTGGTTGCTCCACTTTTGGTGTTGTCCTGGCTGTTGTTCGCGTATATCCCCGCAAGCCCTAAAGCAGCATCAAAATTGGACACGAATGACTCCTTGACGCTTAGCTAGGAGCTTTTACCCTTTATGTTTTTTGGGGTTCCCATATATTCCCATTAGAGGAACCTAACAGTTGACTCTTAGAAGGGCTGCTAAGTGCCAGCGTGATTTGAGCCTGAACGGTGGTCCTTGAACCCTGGAGCTCTGAATCCAAAGTCCCAAGCACCAGGTATAACCCCTATATTATCCCTTTAATATTACAGTAGTTTCCATTTTCTTTTCCATTATCCCAATATAACCCCAATATTACCCCACCCTGAACCCTAAACCCTAAACCCAAACCCTAAACCTTAAACCATACCCCCAATGTTACCCCAACAAGGACCAGATCCTAGACTGCCAGCTCTCAGTCCTACGCTGTAAAGCCCGCAGCACCCAACAAAAATTCGGACAACTCCCCAAGCAATTCCCCATACGTGGCAACAGGAGTTTGACGGCAAGAAGCTGAAGAGCACTACTAAGGCATTTGGGTTTCGGATTTTGGGATAAGAGATTCGTGCTTGGGTGTGGAGACTCGATTTGAGAGGTTTTGTGCATTAGATGTCGAGGATTTAGCAGGTGAAGCATAGATTTCAGGGGTCGAGACTTGCATTTGTGGGTTTAGAGATTGCGTTCTGGGTGTAGAGATTCGATTGTAATGGTAGAGGTCAGGAAGAAAAATGTTGGATTTTGTAAGTTGCTTTCCTAGTTTTGGAGTCAGGGTTCTGCGGGATGTTTGAGGAAGAAGGGTAGGCGATGCTTAGATGTTATGATGTGGTTTAAGGTGTTAAGTGCAGGGTGGTCTTGGGGTCAGAATCGGGCGCGACGCGGGAATCATTGGAGTTAGGTTCTGTTTCGATAAGAGCTTCGTGTTCTTAGTTCAAGGCCTCGGGTTTAACAAAGGCGGCTTTTGTGACAACATCTCTTGCATGTTCCACCGTTCTTTCTGTTTTGCTAATCAGGAGGGCCTGGACATTGAGGACGAGGATGAGAAGACTCTTGATGAAAATGGCTTGCGAGGGATTCGTACCGTTGTTCTTTTTGAGTTCTGCTCTCGTGCATCGTCAATGTCGTCTGTAGTGCCGACTTCTGCATTCTACATCAAGCTCATTGCTCTTAAGAAGGTTGTCAGTTGCTGTAGATCTCTCCTGAACGTGTTTTGGATGTCGAGCACGTGAACACAAGTAGCGCAACTGAAGGACAAATCCTACAGACATGTGAGTCCTTAAATTCAAAATGACCGCAATTTCCCACCTTCAGGGAGAAGGGTTCACCTTCTGCTCATCATGGATCATGTTTTCTGGACAAAGGAAGAAGCTGGAGGAGATGAAGGCGGAGTTTGAGCCTCTCACTAAGCTGATGAAGGAGGCCTGCGAGGGGCTGAGGGTTTTGGGGGTTTTGTGGAGTTGTAGGGTTGGAGGTTGTCGGGCTTTAAGTGAGGGTTTTGTGTTTCAGGTGTTGGGGGGTCTGAGTTTCGCCATATGGGTTCAAGAGTTCAAGGGAGTTCAAGGGAGTTCCAGGTTTCGAGAGGTCTGGAAAGTTTGGTAAGAAGCTATTGGGTTGCACTGTTCAAGCTCTTGTTTTTTCGGTTGTAGACGTTTGGGAAGAATGATGTTCGAGGCCAGGATGTTTCAATAGCACTGAAAAGCGCGTAACTTGGAGTGGAGCCTGCATGAGTCGCTCTGCAAAGCGATCTTTGGAAACTTTGCAGGTCGTAATGCTCCTTCGACGTCTCAAGTTCCCATGCCCTGGCTAGATTAAACTCTCACGCGAAAGAAGTTTCCCACAATAGTTGCTGGCAGCACTCTTGACAGGTCCTGGGCGACAAGGTTGAGAAGGTCATCGTTAGCTCTCGCATGGCCGATTCGCCTTGCGTGCTGACCACCTCCGAGTATGGCTGGTCTGCCAACATGGAGCGCCACTAGGCCTCAAAAGAATGATGACTCTCATGTGATCACATGTGTCTCCGGGTTTCTGAAAAGGTAGCTTGCTCCAGAGTTTGCATGCTGTTCTGTTCACATACTCCGTCGCAGCGAAGGTATCATGAAGGCGCAGGCCCTTCGCGACAACTCCATGACCTCGTACATGGTGTCCAAGAAGACCATGGAGGTGAACCCCAAGCACTCCATCATGGCGGAGCTTAAGAAGAAGGCTTGTGGGGTTGATTTAGAATCCTTTAGTTTGAAAGGGGTGGAAGCCTCCCCGAGATGTTCGCCCCACCCCAATGGCAGGCTGCCGCCGACAAGTCTGACAAGACGGTGAAGGACCTGATCTGGCTGCTCTTCGACACTTCGCTCCTCACCTCCGGCTTCAACCTGGACGAGCCGACGCAGTTCGCAGGCCGCATCCACCGAATGATCAAGCTCGGCCTCAGCATTGATGACGATGACGAGGGACTCGGCGATGACGACGACCTTCCTCCGCTGGAGGAAGTCGAGGGCGCTGCCGACGAGGCTTCCAAGATGGAAGAGGTCGACTAAGCTTTTCAATGAGAGGTACAGTGATGCGGAACTCGTATAGATCCTACTCTATTTCATGTCATCAATGCTGCAAACTACTGTGACTTGTCCGTGTCTACTGTACCAGAATTCGCGTAGGAGCTGGGTGTCGCACCCAGCCATAGGAACAGACTGGCACAGACCAAGCAACAGACTCGTTCACAAGAAGCGTAGCTATACTGGCACTGGTCAGATGCTACGCGAGGTCTCCGCCAAAAAAAGGGCTGCCACATAGGACGATCTTGCCTACTTATATATGCTGGAAATCTCCGGTGTTGTTTTTCTCAGAACCATCCTCGCTGCTGGGGTGCAGATCAGCAATTGTAAAGGATTGCTTTGATTTGTGTAGATGCAGTAAGTAAGTGTTCTGCCTCTTTTGGAGCCCTCCTGCTCCTGAGTGCAAGTACTTTTGCATGGGGCACATGGCGCGGGTCTATACTACTTGGCTCAAACAGAGCAAGTCGACTAAGTTTTGCCACGAGGGAGCTCAGAAAGCAGTGCACCCTAATCATCATGGCCGAAACGTTTGCCTTCAATGCTGATATTCAGCAGCTCGCTTGGACAGTTTACTTGACTACGACTGGTTCACAAAGAGTTTGGGCGTTCATGCGGCTGGTCATGGTTTTAG